TTAGCATTCTTGGATGGTTATTTTCTTTTGCTTTTTAGAATAAGTAAAACTGCATGATTTTGGTGGTCTGACATTACAAACAAATATGTTGTTTGATCTGATTATGTATTGGCTTTTAAGGATAACTGTTTTATATTGAGAGACTTATATCCTGCCATGCTGTATCCTGGTCTTTAAAAAGCAGTTATTCTAGTTATCCTCAGAAACAAGTTTATCTTACTAGAAAACTGATTTTATGAAAAAAACATGGTATGTTAAACAATATATTCTTTTCAAACACACCCATAGGAAAGAAGCTAGTTAGTATCTTCAAAAGGAATTTTAAAATGTAATAGGCAAAGATTCTGTAATATACTTTTTATTTATTCAAATATAGAATATAGGAGTAATCTTTGGCTTATAGTTACACAGATAGATCAAACATAATTTCATAACACCCATACAAATGTCAAGAAAAGAAGAGTACTGGCATTGAAAATATAAAATCAAATAAATTTATAGTTGTGCTTTTATCCCAAAGTTTCATAACATCACTAAAGGCTATAATATTACACTGTATCTTTTAGTAGAGTACACAATGACAGTACAAGACTAGTTTATATGGAAAGAAATAAAGTACTTTTCTTCACTGATATTACCAATTAATATTCTACAGAACATGAATAGACATAGAACAAGGAGAGAAAAATAGGATGATGAAATAACAAGTTATACTTAAATATAAGAAAGTGGTGTATTTACAAAATCTCTATGGCTATTGATAATTATAATGTTTTTTTAAGAAAAAATAGTTCAGTATTCTTTTTACTGCACTTTTCTAGCAGTATTACAGAATTTTTGGCAAAGAATTACAAAAGAAAAGAAAAGAAACACGTTGACAGCAGTGACTTGCCCTTTTTCATAATTTATATTGGTTTGTGTGATCTTTGATAATTTCTTAGAGCAAGAACAGTAAAAGCAATAGTATTTTTAGTAACTCAGAACTACTCAGAACTCTTCTAGTAGCTACTGCATCAAGTCAACAATTCTACAGTATTTCATATTTCTCAAATACATTGAGATACCAGTATTATTGAACTACAAAAAAAAGACATGAGATAAGGCTACCAAAATTGTACCATAATATCTAATATGTTCACAGTCACAGGTGTAGTATGGACGGAATTTTAAGATCCTTCTTGACTAACTAACTATACAGACCCATAGTAAAGGCACTTCGTAACATTGGCTAGCAAACAGTAGGATTTGAGGGAGCTCCTTGACAGATACTGTGGTATCTGTTGGGTGTCATTTTTGAAAACATAGAAAAAGAAAAGTTACTCACAGAATTGAAAAAAAATGTTTTGTAGAAGCTTTTTTGTTTTCTCTGAACAGGGTGGGTTGTTATGCTTCTCAAGACACAAGAGGAGGGTACACCCCCATGAAAAGTTTCTAGGGGTGTTATTGCTTGCAGATTAGGAAATGGTATATTGTCACTTGGGTAGTGGATTAGATCTCCACAAAAGACAAACTATAACTCATCCAATAAAAGAAAATATGGAGTTTTACAACACATCTCTTATATTAGAAAAAATCTATCATAAATGGCACAACATCCATGACTCAGTAATCCTCTTCATCTTCGTACTCGTCTGGGTCTTCGGCAATCTCTTCATAGTCCTTTTCAAGAGCTGCCAAGTCTTCACGGGCTTCAGCAAATTCACCCTCTTCCATGCCTTCACCCACATACCTGAGAAAGAAAGAAAAACAACATAAGAACGGTTTGTTTAGCACTGCTACATTACCAAGGGGAAAAAACTAGTCGGAAGGAGGGAGAGTGTGACAGAGCCTTCTTAGAGAACCTTCAATATATTTCAGTTCAAATTATTTATTTAGTCATTAACAGTACTTGCATTTGTATCAGTAATAAAAGAAATATATTAGTAAAAAATGGCTTCTGGGGAGAGAAACAAAAGAAGAGGAAGAGAGAGAGAGTGAAGGAGATAGAGAGGAAGAGGGAGGTGGGGGAAGGAGGAGCAAGAGGGGGAGAGAGAAAAGAGAAGAAAAGAGGGGGAGAGAGAAGGAAAGGAAAGAAGAGGGAAGGAGGAGGAGGAAGGGAGAGAGGGAGGGAGGGAAGGAAAGGAGGAGGGAGGGGGAAGAGGGAGAGAGGGAAGGAGAGGGAGAGGGAAGGGAGAGGGAGAGAGGAGAGGGAGAGGGAGAGAGAGAGAGAGAGAGAGAGAGAGAGAGAGAGAGAGAGAGAGAGAGAGAGAGAGAGAGAGAGAGAGAGAGAGAGAGAGAGAGAGAGAGAGAGAGAGAGAGAGAGACCGACCCACAAAACGGGACACTGTTGTAGAGGGGCAATAGTGGTGATGCCAACCTGTAAGACGAAATATGAGGTGAGGTTTTGGGACCAAGGGTATGAGGTGGTTTTATTTTATTTCTAGGAATATAGCCAATTTTTGTTTTAATAATAAAGATAATGAGGGAGATGATGGTGATGATGATTTTTGTTTATGGTGGTGATAGGAGTAGTGGTAGTAGTAGCAATGGTGGTGACTGAGAGGAAGAAGAAGAAGTGAGAAAAGAAGAAGAAGAAGAAGAAGAAAAGAAGAAGAAGAAGAAGAAGAAGAAGAAGAAGAAGAAGAAGAAGAAGAAGAAGAAGAAGAAGAAAGAAGAAGAAGAAGAAGAAGAAGAAAGAAAGAAAGAAGAAGAAGAAGAAAGAAAGAAAGAAAGAAAGAAAGAAAAGAAGAAGAGAAGAGAAGAAGAGAAGAAGAAGAAGAAGAAATAAGATGATGATGATGGCAGCGAAAGTGACAAAAATGACGGTGACGATGAATAATCTACAAAAAAACACACAAAAAAAAACAAAAACAAAACAGGACCCACCTTGAAACCCGTTGGACACCAATCAACAAACTCAATGCTCTTGGTGTTCTTAATAGTTTGTATGGCTGAATTGACGTCTTTGGGCACAACGTCACCTCGATACAGCAGAGTAACGGCCATGTACTTTCCATTCCTGGGATTACACTTCACCATCTGCATCTCGGGGGAAAAGCACTCGTTGGTGAGCTGAGCTGTCGTTAACTGGGGGAGAGGAAGAGAAGGGTTAATAGTGAAAGTCTAGTTCGAGGTTATATTGATGTCAAAAGAGGAAGAAAATTGTTAATTGTGAGGAAAATGGAATGGTTAGTGTTCGAGATTATATTGATGCCAAAAGAGGAAGGAAAGGATTAATTGTAAGGAAAGTGGAAGGGTTAATGGCGAACAGTTTGGTTCGAGATGATATTGATGTAGAAAGGAAGAAAAGGGGTTAATTCCGAGGAAAATGGAAGGGTTAATGGTGACTGTCTGATTTGAGATTACATTGATGTCGAAAGAGGAAGAAATGGGTTAATTGTGAGGAAAGTGGAAGGGAATGGTAAATGGTGAACAGTCTGATTTGAGGTGATAATGATGTCGAAAGAGGAAGGAAAGGGTTAAGTGTGAGGAAGGTGAAAGAGTTAATGGTTCGAGGTTGTATTGATGTCAAAAGAAGAAGAAAAGAGTTAATTTGAGGAAAGAGGAAGGAAATGGTTACTAGTGAACAGTCTGATTTGAGATTACATTGATGTCGAAAGAGGAAGCAAAGGTTAATTGCAAGGAGGGTGAAAGGGTTAATGGTGACTGTCTGGTTCGAGATTACCTGTCGGTTTGTTAAAATTGTGAAGAGGTGATAATGATGTCAAAAAAGGAAGCAGAGTTAATTGCGAGGAGGTGAAAGGAAGGAGATTAATTGATGTAATTTTGCACTGAAGGGGTTCGACTGTACTGTCGTCGGTTTGTTAAAATTGTGCGAGGCCCAACCCAAAGAATATTCATATACTTGACATGCATAAATAAAGAAATAAATGCATATTTACCAGTCTAGACATGCACATCAACCTGGGAAATAGATAGTTAAATGCATATATATCAGATATATTGATATCGAAAGAGGAAGCAAATGAGAGGAAAGAGGGAGGGAAGGGTTAATGGTGACTGTCTGGTTCGAGGTTATATTGATGTCGAAAGAGGAAGAAGTGAATATTTAGTGACACAGTGGAAATCCTCATGCAAATATTATGAGGATTTCTACGCTTTGCCGTTGACAGACCCACTTGAAAGGCAAGGCTGCTAAACTTTTTTTTTTTTCTTACTCCCATGAGGCAAATATGTAAATTCACTAGCGCAAGAGATAAAATAAAAATCATTAATGAAAAAGATGAAGTAAGTTCTGTGTAAATCATAAAATATTTGTTTTAGCGTAAAAGATAAAGGATCTATTCATGGTATTTTAAGCATCATGAAAAATATTGACAAAAAAGAAAAAAGAAAAAAAAGAAAATAAAATACAAACGATATTCATAATCCAAAAAGCCATTAAACTCAAATCACAAAATATGAGAAAATACATTAGCTCCCCCTTACACAGTCCTACAAACTCCCAACAGATGGCACTACAACACCACCTTATCTCCCACATCCATATATTTCAACCATTAACCATTAAACACCATTACCTGCATGTAACTGGTCTTGTCAGCAGCGTGAACGGGGGTGTAATTGGCCAGAGGGAAGTGGATGCGAGGGTAAGGCACCAGGTTGGTTTGGAATTCCGTAAGGTCGACGTTCAGGGCACCTTCGAACCTGCCGGTGCGAAAGGGTTAGTTGGTTAGGGGAACATGTATGTATGTGTGTGTGTGTGTGTGTGTGTGTGTGTGTGGTGTGTTGTGTGTGTGTGTGTGTGTGTGTGGTGTGTGTGTGTGTGTGTGTGTGTGTGTGTGTGTGTGTGTGTGTGTGTGTGTGTGTGTGTGTGTGTGTGTGTGTGTTGCTGTGTGTGTGCTGTGTGTGTGTGTGTGTGATGTGTAATTGTGTGTGTGTGTGTGTGTGGTGTGTGTGTGTGTGTGTGTGTGTTGTGTGTGTATGTATGTATGTATGTATGATGTATATGTATGTATGTATGTATGTATCTCTCTTCTATATATATATGTGCACGCGACCAATGAAGAAAAAGTATGAAATGAGAACAAAATATCTTCCCAGCGAAAGATTTATTTTATTTATTTTTATTATGATTATTATTATTATTTTTTATACTTTTTTGTGTGTGTGCGAGAGAGAGAGAGAGATGAGAGAGAGTGAGAGAGAGAGTGAGAGAGAGAGAGAGAGAGTGAGAGTGAGAGTGAGAGTGAAAGTGAAGTTGAGAGGTGAGAGTGAGAAGTGAGAGTGAAGTGAGAGAGAGAGAGAAGAGAGAGAGAGAGAGAGAGAGAGAGAGAGAGAGAGAGAGAGAGAGAGAAGAGAGAGAGAGAGAGAGAGAGAGAGAGAGAGAGACAGACAGACAGACAGACAGACAGACACACAAAGAACAGACAGAAGACAGAGGAAAAAAATGTTTCTTTTCGTTCTCCAGAAATGACCTTATCTAACCTCAGAGACGCGGTGATGGACGAAACGATCTGGCTAATGAGGCGGTTGAGGTTGTGATAAGTGGGCCTCGTGATGTCCAAGTGTTTGTTGCAGAGTTCGTAAATTGCTTCGTTGTCCACCATGAAGGCCACGTCACAGTGTTCCATGGAGGTGTGTGTGGTCAGGATGGAGTTGTAAGGTTCGACCATTGCTGTTGATACCTGGATTGAAAATTAAAAGGTTTATGTAGAAAGGTATGGGTGAGAATGGTCCAAATACATCTCTTGTATTAAAGATTAAAGATTAAGAGATTTATGTTGAAAGGTATGGGTGAGAATGGTCCAAATACACTCTTGTATTAAAGATTAAAGATTAAGAGATCTATGTAGGAAGGTATGGGTGAGAATGGTCCAAATACATCTCTTGTATTAAAGATTAAAGATTAAGAGATCTATGTAGGAAGGTATGGGTGAGAATGAAATACATCTCTTGTATTAAAGATTAAAAGATTTATGTAGAAAGGTATGGATGAGAATGGTCCAAATACATCTCTTGTATTAAAGATTAAAAGATTTATGTAGAAAGGTATGTGAGAATGGGTGTGTTAATAAAAGATTCATGTAGAAGGGTATGGGTGAGAATGATCAAATACATTTCTTGTATTAAATATTTAAATATTTATGTAGATAGGTATGGATGAGAATGGTCCAAATAGATCTTTTGGATTAAAGATTAAAGATTAAATGATTTATGTACAATGGAATGGCTGAGAATGGTCCAAATACATCTCTTGTATTAAAGATTGAAGATTTATGTAAGAAGGTATGGCTGAGAATGGTCCAAATACATCTCTTGTATTAAAAAATAAAAGATTCATGTAGAAGGGTATGGGTGAGAATGACCAAATAAATCTTTTGGATTAAAGATTGAAGATTAAAAGATTCATGTAGAAGGGTATGGCTGAGAATGGTCCAAATACATCTCTTGTATTAAAAAATAAAAGATTCATGTAGAAAAGTATGGGTGAGAATGGTCCAAATACATCTCTTGTATTAAAGATTTAAAAGATTTATGTAGAAAGGTATGGGTGAGAATGGTCCAAACACATCTCTTGTATTAAAAAATAAAAGATTCATGTAGAAGGGTATGGCTGAGAATGACCAAACATTTCTTGTATTAAAAGATTGAAGATTAAGAGATTTATGTTGAAAGGTATGGGTGAGAATGGTCAAATACATCTCTTGTATTAAAGATTGAAGATTAAAAGATTTATGTAGGAAGGTATGGGTGAGAATGGTCCAAATAGATCTTTTGGATTAAAGATTAAAGATTAAATGATTTATGTACAAAGGAATGGGTGAGAATGGTCCAAATACATCTCTTGTATTAAAAAATAAAAGATTCATGTAGAAGGGTATGGCTGAGAATGGTCCAAATAGATCTTTTGGATTAAAGATTAAAGATTAAGAGATCTATGTAGGGAGGTATGGGTGATAATGGTCCAAATACATTTCGTGTATTAAAGATTGAAGATTAAAAAAATTTGTAAAAGGTAAAATGGGCGAGAATGGTCTAAACACATCTCTTGGATTGTGAAGATATTCTAATTTATACCTTTTCTACATTTATCAGCATGAATGCGGTTCATTAAAGACTTAAGTTTTAATTCCATTTATTACAATGAATGTTCTTTGCTGTGAGATGCTGTCTGTTTTTATTTTGCTTCTAAATATCACCCTTTGTGCATTAGTTTTAATTCCACTTGTTCCAATGTATGTTTTTTTGCTGTGACATGATTTTTGCTTTATTTTGCTTTTAAATCTCCTCCTGTGTGCGTGGAATGGCCGGGGTGACCATCCACTGGCAGTGCGCGGTATCGAACGTGGGTCAGCAAGGTTGCTAGACGAAAACGCTAACTGTTGCGACTACACAGCACAAGGAAGAGAAATAGTGGTATTATGGGTGGGGGAGAGCGGGGGAAGAAGGGAGATTGCATGGGGAAAAGAGATTGTTTCCTGGAGGGAAAAATGGGTGAAAATTGATTCCATATGAAACTAATGGAAAAACATGGACAAATAACAAAAAAAATGGGGAAGAGAGATTGATCCCAAGTGGAAATATATTTATTTATATGTACACACACACACACACACACACACACACACACACACACACACACACACACACACACACACACACACACACATACAAAGATGTCAACCAAGCCAAGTCGCTCGACCCAGTTTACAAGAACTCGACCACTAGTAAATTGATTCCGCCAATCAATGACCAGATACTTTTTTGCACATTTGTCAACACCAATACATGTTTATCATTTTTATTATTTTTTATATCTTTCTTTAGTATTCTATCATTTTTTTTTTTTGCGTAAAATCACCTCATACTGGAATTAGAAACTTGAAGAGTTTTTAAGTTAGAAAAAATGGGTTTGAATCATCCACTTCAAATGCTTGTGGTGATGTTACTAAGAATCATTTATAAGTGTGAATATTTTTGTCAGGATTAAGAGGTTCACTTTAAAAAGGATTATTACACAAAGTAAAACTGGAATCCGAGAAATTATTTGCGCCAGGTCTCTCTTCGTCCCGTCAACATCTGACATGAACATATATAGGCCTATATGTAAATAAAGAAATAAGTGTATATATATATATATATATATATATTATATATATATATATATACTTATACATATATCATACGAATATATGTATACACAGACATATACATACACACACATATAAATACATATATATATGCATATATCTGTCTACACACACACACACACACACACACACACACACACACACACACACACACACACACACATATATATATAATATATATATATATATATATATATATATTATATACTTTGGTATGGCGGTTCCTACACTCCAAAGAGATCTATATCTCTGTAATCGATCTGGATGAATGAAGGAAGCTGCTGACGTATAACATAACCTTCAACAAGTGCTCCATTGCTTATTTAATCTTAACTAGTCATATAGATACATTGCACACACACACACACACACCACACACACACACACACACACACACACACACACACACACACACACACACACACACACACACACATGTAGTCACCGTCTTCCATCACATTTTCTTCAGTTTTTCCCTACACAAATCTGTTTCCTCTCAGTCTAAATATAAGATAATTAAATATAAACCAAATCTCTCCAGTGTCTAAACTATTGTTATATACAAAACTCCAAGCCTACGATTTGATTAATAATTGATATCATTGCTTCAGAAAATAACCGTTTGTATCGACCCGCGTGACCTTGCTTCCGGTAAAATGTTAGAATTCATGATATTTTCATATCCAGGGCAAGTATGATGGAGTTCCTTACACAATAATTATTATATTTTATTAGAATTAGCGAATAAATGATAAAACCACTGAAATAACATAAGAAATTCGAACTGTATAAAACACCTTATGGAACCTTCACGAAATTCGAAACGAAGCATCAAATGAAACACACAAAGCTTCGAAGCAATAGTTTCGAAATTCCTTGTGTTCTCTTTTCGCGTCGTGGTAAAAATAAAAGAAAAAATAAAGAAAAGAAAATTCAGTGTCGATTGATCTTAATTATGTTGCCGATTTAGTGAAGAATAAGTAGTTTAAAAGCTGGTGTTGAGTGAGATATGACAGGAACGTGAAAGAGTGAGACTTAAAGCCTGATTTTCATTATTTTACATTTCCGATTCGGTACTTGTTGTATTAGTGATTCAGGAAATAAGGAAAGTACTGTGGTTCTCAGGACAAGAAGAAGCTGACATTAGAATCTGGATGAAGTTAAGGTAATGTGGCAACTTCTTGTTCTCTTTGTCTTGTCTTTTGCTACGTTCCTCTCCTCTTTTATCTGTCTTCTCTCTTTCACTGAGATTGGCATTTACCGAATTCTTTTATCTTTTGTAGTTTGTATTATTTTTACATAGGAAAAATAGTCGAACAAAAAGTGTTTTTTTTTATATAGCCCAAGGTTTAGGTTTTATATATGGTCATTACAATTCGACATTTCTTACCATCTCCCGTGTGAGATTAATAGATTTAGCTTATCTGATATTAGAAAAAAATGCAGTACTTGTAGCTTACTAGATATTCAAATATACATACACATACACACACTAGCATTTCTAGTTTATCCAATATTAAAAATAGACTATACACCACCAGCTATATCTTAATATAAAAAATCTATGCACTCCCAATTCTAAATCATCCATTTTTGGGACATTGATTACCTGTGGCGCGGGGTAGATGGCGAACTCCAGTTTGGTTTTCTTGCCATAATCAATAGACAGGTGTTCCATAAGCAAGGATGTAAAACCCGAGCCTGTTCCACCGCCGAAGGAATGGAATACTAGAAAGCCCTGTGGGAGAGAGAGAGAGAAGGGAGAGGGAAGGAGGGAGGGAGAGGGGGGTGGGGGAGGGAGAGAGAGAGGAAAGGAGGTGGAGGGAGAAAGGAGAGGGAGAGAGAGGGTGGGAAGAAGTAGGAGGGAGAGGGGATGGAAGGAGGGTGAGGGAGAGAAAGGGGAGTGGGTGGAGGAGAGAGAGGGAAGTGAGGTGGAGGGAGAGAGAGCAGGCGGAGAGAAATAGAAGGGAGAGGGAGGAGGAAAGGAGGGGTGTGGGAGAGAGAAAGGGGGAGTGAGGTGGAGGGAGGGAAAGAGGGAGAGAGAGTGGGAGAGGAAGAGCGAGGAAAAAGGAGGGAAAAAAAGAAAAAGATAAAAACTATTAATACACAATAAAAGTAGATACAATAAACTATTGTGATGGGGCAATAGGTCTACATGAAGCGGGGAATTTGAATCATTGTAAACATAACGGAAAGCATGGTCGCTTGAGATCTAAACATTCAGCACTTGGTTAAAATATCTTCATTATATAATCAGATAACTTTGACGTTTTTGTTGTTCTCCAAGATGAAATTCAAAGAAAAGACCTAAACTCGATATCATGGAGGTTTTTTCCAACTAGCACGAAACGCTTAATTTCAGGATTTCCTACTTTCAGGCTAAATTTGGACTATTTTCCGGCTATTTTCAAGCAATTTTCAGGCTTTTTTCAAGGTATCAACCTATTTTCCACCTATTTTCAAGCAATTTATGGGCTTTCTTAAAAAAAGCCTGAAAATTGCTTTTTTTTCAAGCTATTTCCACCTATTTTCAAGCAATTTATGGGCTTTCTTCAGGGTATTTTCAATCCATTTTCCGCCTATTCTCAAGCAATTTTCAATCTATTTTTACCCACACGCCGAACTACATACCTGCAGGCTATTAGCTTGGTCCGCCAGGCGTCGAATCTGGTCGAGTGTGACCCCGATCATCTCTTTGCCAATGGTGTAGTGACCTCGAGCAAAATTATTGGCTGCGTCCTCCTTGCCCGTGACCAGGAGCTGTGGGTTGTAGAGTCCCCTGTACATACCCGTTCTGATCTCGTCTGTTAATGAAATAAAATGGGAAAAAATGAGTGTTATAAACGGCGTGAGGTTGTGTTCTTACTATTAGGTTGGGTGACTGTTAGGGCGTTCTCGTTCTGAACTCGTCTGTTAATAAAGAAAGAAAAAATTGAGTGTTATAAACGGCGTGAGGTTGTGTTCTTACTGTTAGGTTGGGAGACTGTTAGGGTGTTCCCGTTCTAATCTCGTCTGTCAATGAGATAAAAGGGAAAAGATGAGTGTTATAAACGGCGTGAGGATGTGTTCTTACTGTTAGGTTGGGAGACTGTTAGGGTGTTCTCGTTCTGATCTCGTATGTTAATGAAATAAAAGGAAAATAAATAGTGTTATAAATAGCGTGAGGTTGTGTTCGTAATGCTAGGTTGTGACACTGTTAGGGTGTTGACTGAAGATGGATGTGAGGATGTTTATGTATGTATATATTTATGTATGTATATGTATATGGATATGTATATATATGTATATTATATTGCCGTGGCCTAGAGAATGCAGACTGAAAATTATTGGTTTTGGTTTTAGTTTTCAAAACCATTGGAAAAGATGAATGAAAAGAACTATAATATTCCTGAACCATTAAAAGATATGAATGGAAAAAATCTATTAGTCTTCTAAACCCGTAGAAAAGATGCGTTCCACTTTAGTTAGTCTTTTTAAGTAGGACTATTTTATTGCAAGAGGCGAGAGTTGTTATGCAGTAGTGGTCTTGACAATCATTGGAAAGAGATATGGATCTGTGTCTCCACTTTTACAGAATTCTTCCCAATATTACGGAATATCTGCTGAAATAAAAGCATACTAAGGATTAGGTAAGGAACTTCTGAAAACCGGTTTTGTGATTTCTAAGTAAGCTATGAGTGTGACAAAGATAAACGCATATAGAGAAGGATGAGAAGGATATAGTAACTATTACATATGGATGTATAATTGTATACTGTTATTTAGAACTAGAACAGCGGTATTTCTTGCCCTAAATAGTCTTTGATTCTTGCTGATGTAGAATCCTACGCAACGGAGCGGTTTTATGTATAATTATGCATAATGGAATATTTCAAGTATAATCATGTGTTAGAGATACATTATGAAACGGTAGGTAAGTGTTAAAGAAACCGTAATGATTGATAGAGCTACCTCGTCTTGTCTAACTTTTCGACATATTTAAGCATTCTCCCCCCCCACCCCCACCCCCACCCCCATTCAAGCAGACCATAAAACACGTAAATATAGTATCTAGTTACAATAAGAAAACCCCAAGGAATTTTTTAAAGGAATCCCAGGAATTCTCTTGACAAAACTCCGTCTCCAGGAATGCAAGTGGCCTGCAAAGACCACCCGGCATAGCGAACACCCCTTACCGATAACCGTTGGCTCGAGGTCGACGAAGACAGCGCGGGGGACATGCTGGCCGCTCTCCATCTCGCTGAAGAAGGTGTTGAAGGAGTCGGTTCCCCCCCGATCCTTGTCAGAGGGCATGAGGCCGTCGGGGAAGATGCCATGTTCGAGGCAGTACAGTTCCCAGCAGGCGTTGCCGATCTGGACGCCGGCTTGGCCTACGTGGATGCTCACACACTCGCGCTGTCGGGGAAGTAGGAGAGTGGAGAGGGAAGGGGAAAGGAGAGGGGGGAAGGGGGAGAGTGAGAGAGGGAAGGGAGGAGAGTGAGAGGGAGTGAGTGTCGGGGAAGGAGAGTGAGAGAGGAAGTGGAGGAGAGTGAGAGAGGAAGGGGGGAGAGTGGGAGAGAAGGGGGAGAGTGAGAGAAGGAAGGGGGAGAGTGAGAGAGGGAAGTGGAGGAGAGTGAGAGAAGGAAGTGGAGGAGAGTGAGAGAGGGAAGTGGAGGAGAGTGAGAGAAGGGAAGTGGGGAGAGTGAGAGAGGGAAGTGGAGGAGTGAGAGAGGGAAGGGGGAGAGTGAGAGAAGGAGGAGGAGAGTGAGAGAAGGAAGGGGAGTGAGAGTGTGGGGAGAAGTGAGAGAGGAGGAAGGGAGGAGAGTGAGAGAGGAAGTGGAGGAGAGTGAGAGAGGGAAGGGGGAGAGTGGGAGGAAGGGGGAGAGTTAGAGAGGGAGGGGGAAGAGTGAGAAGGAAGTGGAGGAGAGTGAGAGAAGGAAGGGGGAGAGTGAGAGTGTCGGGGAAGGGGGAGAGTTAGAGGGGGAAGTGGGGGAGAGTGAGAGAGGGAAGTGGAGGAGAGTGGAGAGTGGAGGAGAGTGAGAGAGGGAAGTGGAGGAGAGTGTGAGAGGTGAGAGAGTGGAGAGAGTGAGAGAGGGGAAGTGAGAGAGTGAGAGAAGAAGTGGAGGAAGAGGAGGAGAAGGAAGGGGGAGAGTGAGTGTCGGGGAAGGGGGAGTGAGAGGAATGGGAGGAGGAGGAGAGAGGAAGGGGAGAGTGAGAGAAAGGAAGGGGGAGAAGTGGGAGTGTCGGGGAAGGGGGAGAGTGAGAGAGGGAAGTGGAGGAGAGTGAGAGAAGGAAGGGGGAGAGTGAGAGTGTCGGGAAGGGGGAGAGTTAGAGAGGAAGTGGAGGAGAGTGAGAGAGGGAAGGGGGAGAGTGGAGTGGGAGTTATCGGAGAAGGGGGAGAGTTAGAGAAGGAAGGGGGAAAGTGAGAGTGTCGGGGAAGTGGGAGAGTGAGAAGAAGGAAGGGGGGAGAGTGGAGTGTCGGGGAAGGGGGAGAGTGAGAGAGGAAGTGGAGGAGAGTGAGAGAAGGAAGTGAGAGGGAGAGTGAGAAGTGAAGGGGGAGAGTTAGAGAGGGAAGTGGAGGAGAGTGAGAGAAGGAAGGGGGAGAGTGAGAGTGTCGAAGGGGGAGAGTGAGAGAAGGAAGTGGAGAGATGAGAGAAAAGGGGAGAGTGGGAGTGGGGATGAGAGAGGGAAGTGGAGGAGAGAGTGAGAGAGGAAGTGGGAAAGTGAGAGTGTCGGGGAAGGGGGAGAGTGAGAGAGGGAAGTGGAGGAGAGTGAGAGAAGGGAAGAGGAGAGAAGGAGGGAAGAGTGTCGGGGAAGGGGTGAGAGAGGGAGAGGGAGGAGTGAGAGGTCGGAGGGGGAGTGAAGGGAAGTGAGAGAAGGAGAGAGTGAGATGTCGGGGAGAGTTGTTGAGAATGTAAGGGGAGAGTTAGAGAGGGAAGTGGAGGAGAGTGAGAGAAGGAAAGGGGGAAGTGGAGAAGTGTCGAAGGGGGAGAGTGAGAGAAGGAGTGGAGGAATGGAGAGGGGAGAGTGGAGTGTCGGGGAAGAGGAGAGTGAGAGAGGAAGAGGGGAGAGTGAGAACGGGGGATGAGAGTGAGAGAAGAAGGGGAAGAGTGAGTGTCGGGGAAGGGGGAGAGTGAGGGAGGGAGGAATGCGTTGATGTATTGGATTCAGAGAGCAATTTATATAGGTAGTTGCGTAGAGATTAATTTTTGTATCTAATTACCTGTGTAGAGATTAATTTCTGTAGCTAATTGTGCAGATATTAATTTCGGGAGCTAAATAATTAATTATGTAGATAATTAGAAGCTAATTGTTTATTAAGCTAAATAATTGCTAATTAATTAACTAGATATTAATTTCAGAAGCTAAATGATTAGGTAGATATATTTTTGTAGCTAATTAGAACATTTGTAGCTAAATAAGTGTGTAGAAATTAATTACTGTAGCTAATCTATTGCGTTTTGATAATTAGTAAGCAAAACAAACTTGGAAATTAAGTTTGACGAATATTTACAACTTTACCCACGTTTGGTAATTAGTAAACCTCAGTACCCGGTTTTCCTACAATAGTCGTATTTACATGTAGATTAATCCTATTCACTCAGGGGCATGTCATGATGGGCACAGTGACACTGGCATAGAAAAAGGAGTGTCATATCAACAGGTCAAAGACCTTAACAGAACTATTACCCTTTTTTTCTTGTTTTTATGATCATTGTTATCGTCTGGATCGTAATAACATGATGATGAGATTAAATCTAATCTTTTGTTTACATGTATTTATCTTTTATTATGTCATATATGTTCGGAAATGAAGTGGAAAAATATTGTTTTTTTGCCATTCTTGTGCGTTTTTTTATAAGGAATAGGTTGATAGGCCAGTTATATATGGCCTATCTACCTAGTTATAATGAATCGTTAAATGGTAAAAAAATGATCCATGAAATAGTGATATAATCCTTTATTACGAATTTATTGATAACGCATTTGAATTTCAATGAGATATGAACAGTGATTTTGCTCTCAATAGGGAGTATATTTGATTTTTTTTTCGCTGTGTGTGTTGTGTTGTGTGTTGTGTGTATGTGTGTGTGTTGTGTGTGTGGGTGTGTGTGTGTGTGTGTGTGTGTGTGTGTGTGTGTGTGTGTGTGTGTGTGTGTGGTGTGTGTGTGTGTATGTATATGTGTACATATGTATGTACGTATATATATATGTATGTGTGTACGTATATATGTATGCGTGTGTAGATGTGTGTGTGTGTATGTATGTGTGTGCAAAACTCGTGAAGGACAACCCTTAAGGAGGTCAACCGATTGCGTCATGTCAGTTAGTAACTTTTTAAGTCGTACCTCCGCCACCTTAGACTCTTGCTGCCAACACGCGATCCATGTTTTTTTCTCTCTTTCGTCTCGCTCGTGAATTATGCAATACGACAGATATCATAAAATAAAAAAATCTGACAGTTTATAACTTTCCCAGGGACGTTGTATTTTTGTTTCGTTTTCTGCGTGTAATGTATCTTCGTCACTCTTCTGTCTATACAAATCTTTTTTAGGGGGGGGCGGTTAGACGTGTTGTAAACGTGTTAATTCGATGGTGGCTTCGGTGAGGTGTCTGTTAGTGATTTATTTCTTTATTTTATTGGTGGTGAGTGCTTTCCAGGTCTGTTTGTCTATATTTAATCTACCTCTTTGTCTGTCAGCTTGTATGTGTCTATGTGTCTGACATGTATCTGTCTACTTACATGTCTGTCTGTCTATCTATCTATCTATCTGTTTATATGTCTCTCTATCTATCTATCTATCAATCTACTTGTTCAGTCTGCGTATCTCTAACGGCTTCTCCATTATCATTAGACTTATCAAACTTATTTATAAACTCCGACGAACAAATGTCAAGGTCATTCAATCCACACACACACACACACACACATACCATATACACACACACACACACAACACACACACCACACACACACACACACACACACACACACACACACACACACACACACACACACACACCACACACACACACACACACACACACTCACACAACACACACACACACCACACACACACACACACACACACACACACACACACACACACACACACACACACACACATATATATATATATATATATATATATATATATATAATATATATTTAGTCCACATATTTTCTTATTTTTCTCTCTCTTTTCTGTAATCTCACGCATTATCTACCCAAAATTCACCTTGGATAATCTGATAACACCTTATAAGCCTATGAGTTAAGTCCTCGTCCATTAGCGAATTGTTGAAATATGTGCAGAGTATAACACCCAGCTGGTTACTTCACGTTGAGTATACCCAGATGGTTACTTTCCACAGAGTATACCCAGCTGGTTACTTTGCACGGAGTATACCCAGCTGGTTACTTTCCAGAGAGTATACCCAGCTGGTTACTTTCCACGGAGTATACCCAGCTGGTTACTTTCCACGGAGTATATCCAGCTGGTTACTTTGCACAGAGTATACCCAGCTGGTTACTTTGCACGGAGTATACCCAGCTGGTTACTTTACACAGAATATACCCAGCTGGTTACTTTGCACGGAGTATACCCAGCTGGTTACTTTACACAAAGTATACCCAGCTGGTTACTTTCCACAGAGTATACCCAGCTGATTACTTTGCACAAAGTATACCCAGCTGGTTACTTTCCAGAGAGTATACCCAGATGGTTACTTTCCAGAGAGTATACCCAGCTGGTTACTTTCCACAGTAGTGGTTACTTTTACAGAGTATACCAGCTGATTACTGAGTATACCCAGCTGGTTACTTTGAGTATACCCAGCTGGTTACTTCCAGAGAGTATACCCAATGGTTACTTTGCGCAGAGTATACCCAGCTGACTACTTTCCAGAGAGTATACCAGCTGATTACTTTCTATACCCAGCTGGTTACTTTCCAGAGAGTATACCCAGCTGGTTACTTTGCACAGAGTATACCCAGCTGATTACTTTCCAGGAGTATACCAGCTGATTACTTTCCACAGAGTATACCCAGCTGATTACTTTCCAAAGAGTATACCCAGCTGGTTACTTTACCCGTATGTACAGTAAGAAGAGTGAAGTTAAGGTGCGATAAACGCGTAATAAGGCGAATGAGAGATAGCGATAATGAGCAAACATCATTAATAATGAAGAGAGAGAGAATGGCAAGGAAGAAAGATGTCAAAGTTCATGTTGTGGGAGTTTTTTTGTTTATTCATACTATTATTTATTATTATTGTTATTATTATTATCATTGTTGTTGTTCTTAGTGTTGCTATTGTCATTGTTATTGTTGTTATTATTGCTATTAGTGCTATTTTTATCGTTATTATTATCCTTATCATCATCATCATCATTATCTTCATTATCATCATCATCATTATCATCGT